TTTTTAACTGTTACTTTTCTAAATTCTTGGCTGTAACTTGATTGAAATGAAATATTTCTATTAGTGGGTTCCCTATTTTGACCTGTACAGCTTAGAGAAATAAATTTCCCTCTACTGTCTGCCTATCTCTTTTGCATTCCAAAGTGCGGTCTCATTAAACTCCAAGGTCTAAAATCTTTCTTTGGGAGCTAGCCTCCAGTATCTACGTGGATTTACAAAAGGGGAAAGAAAGCAAGGATAGTTTGATGTGAAGTCTTCCTTTATGCATCTTTTGATAAACTTATGCTTTACAAGTGGAAGGATACTTTTATTTTGGGGCCATATTTTCAGAGGTGTTTTAATAACCTTTTCCTAATTATTTATAGCTTCCTGATTGACATAACTCACTTCAAGAAGCGCACAATGTCAGAACGTGGGGTTAAGTGGGCCTGTGAATACTGCACGTATGAAAACTGGCCGTCGGCCATCAAGTGTACCATGTGTCGCGCCCAGAGACCTAGCGGAACGATCATTACTGAAGACCCATTTAAGAGCGGTTCAAGTGACATGGGTCGAGACTGGGACCCTTCCAGCACCGAAGGAGGAAGTAGTCCTTTGATATGTCCGGACTCCAGTGCAAGACCCAGAGTTAAGTCTTCGTACAGCACGGAAAATGCAAATAAATGGTCGTGTCACATGTGCACATATTTGAACTGGCCAAGAGCAATCAGATGTACCCAGTGCTTATCCCAGCGTAGGACCCGGAGCCCCACAGAATCCCCTCAGTCCTCAGGGTCTGGCTCGAGGCCAGTTGCTTTTTCTGTAGACCCTTGTGAGGAATACAATGACAGAAATAAACTGAACACGAGGACCCAGCACTGGACTTGCTCTGTTTGCACATATGAGAACTGGGCCAAGGCTAAAAAATGTGTTGTTTGTGATCACCCCAGACCTAATAATATTGAGGCAATAGAGCTGGCAGAGACTGAAGAGGCTTCTTCAATCATAAATGAGCAGGACAGAGCTCGATGGAGGGGGAGCTGCAGTAGTGGCAATAGCCAAAGACGATCACCTCCTGCTACAAAACGGGACTCGGAGATGAAAATGGATTTTCAGAGGATTGAATTGGCCGGTGCTGTTGGCAGCAAAGAGGAACTTGAAGTGGACTTCAAAAAACTAAAGCAAATTAAAAACAGGATGAAAAAGACCGACTGGCTATTCCTCAATGCTTGTGTGGGTAAGTTTCTGCATTTTTTTGGTATTAAAGATGACATGAAAAATTTAGCAGGGCCAGTATCATTTAACGTTTTCTTCATTCAGCATGATATGTTAGTGCATCAGAAGCACTGTATCTGTGATCTTGGCTTAACTTTTTCCTAAGTTCATCGTGCACGAGTTCCTCTGTCATTGGGGGAAAATCTTTTAAGATAAAGCGAAGTATTTTGTATGCATCAATAGTAAAATATATACCTGGAGTTTAAAATTGCTACTCTGTTTATCTTAAAATGTGTGAGCAACACCAGCTGCTGCTTTAAGTGTTTACAAACAGTGCTAGCATCTTGTGATGATAGATGCTTTAGTCAGATGTTAAAAATACCACAAAAATGTGTGACTCCAAGAAGTTGAACAAAAATAACATTGACCTTGAAAATACTGATATTAATGTAACATGAATGGCATGTAGTAAATATTTGCAAATTTTATGAAACTGATTTCACATGGCCATTTGAACCCATAGTTCAAAATATGATATGAGTGTTTCATGGTTTCAGTGCTTTTTTTTGTTTGTTTCAATTTATTTATTTCTGCATACAGAACTGCTGGGGTACAAGCCAGAGGTGCAGGGGCGGTGAGAGGATCAGCAGAGACAGAGTGGGGAGCAGAATAGATCGATGAAGTCCACTGCTGAGGGGAACAGTAGGTGGGTCAGGAGAGGTCTGCTGTGCCCTGTGGTCACCTCCGCCCTGTGGTCACCTCCGGAGCTGGGGATCGAACTCTCACTGAAGCGGCTGTGCTCAGGGAGGGCCCTTTAGTGCTTTCTTTTTTTTTTTTTTTTAAAAGATTTATTTATTTGTGCATACAGAAGTGGGGTACAGGCCAGAGGCTCAGGGGCGGCGAGAGGCTTCACCAGAGACAGAGTGGGGAGCAGAACAGGCAGATGGACGAAGTACACTGCTGAGGGGAGCAGCGGGCGGGTCAGGAGAGGTCTGCCACGCCATGTGGTCACCTCCGGGGCAGGCGGGAATCGAACTCATGCGGAAGCGGCTTTAGATTCTCAGTGCTGTGCTTTAACCCGCTGCGCCACCAGGGAGGGCCCCCTTTAGTGCTTTCTTAAGGAAATTCCGGATATTGGTTTCAGTTTGCAGCTCAGTACTGTTAAAAGGACAGAGACATATTATAAGAGCAGGGCTTTTCTCTAGTTTCTGCTCCTGTGAGTTAATTATTTGGAATGTAATCACCAAAGCAGTTATTTAACTCTTTGATATTTTGTGTTTCAGTAGGTTAGATATTTGCGTCTTATCACTTCAGTTATTTGGATAGGTTGCTCTTAAATCCAGTTTTGTGAAGGAAAGTTTGATCCATCCGCACATTAAAGCGCTTTACTGTATTTCTATGCATATATATTTACCCTGCACTGAATTACCCCAGGTGTAGGGAAGACATGGCTTTGTGAACCTGCAGGGCCTAACAGGTTTCAAGAAATCTGAGGTTTTCATTTTCCTTGTCTCGGTCAGTGAGTATCCCAGCCGATGAGCCCTTGGAAGGCCAGCAGGGCAAGCGCTTCATGGCCGTCACTCAGGCTGCCTCCAGGGGACCAGGGGTGAACACACCTTACCCCATTTCATCCCACTGGATTATTTCTTCTCACCAGCAGACCATGTGCTGTGTGATTGCCCTTAAAAAAAAAAAAAAGACAAATGGGTTTCATTACTAATTTTTAAAACCGAGATCAAGTCCATATCACATCACATTCACAGCTTTGAAAGGGAGCGTTTCCCAGCACAGTGTGGCACAGCTGTCGCTGCAGGCTGCCCTTGGTTGCCGACCGCGCCACGAACAGCGCTGGCCCATTAAGATCCCCTCCTTCCCCTGGGAGGAGGTTTCTCCTGGTTTCTGTGGATTTACCTCTTCTGCATGTTCTGGAGAAATGGAGTCTTCAGGCTCTGAGACCTTTTGTGTCTGGGCAGGGTGTTGTTACCTGCACACGGTTGGAACAGTCTCAGCAGCGTTTTGCAGGCAGTGGTAGTGTGCCCTGAATACTTTCACTCTGAGGTGGTAAAAGTTAATAGTGCTGGTGAAGTCAGATGGAAATGAGGGGTGTTGTGATGATTCTTAAGCTCTTTCAGGCCCAGAAGCCTTTTGGAAGCACAGGCATCACTTCTTGAAGCTAGTGGCTCTCTGTCAGAGCAGGGAGAGAAGTCCCGCTTTGAACTGTTTTCTCTCTCCGAAAGTGCTGCTACTGCTTTTATGAGGGGGTTTCTGTCTCTCCGACCACTCTGTCTTGGGCTGTCTTTCCTTTAAAGATAGCTGTTGTGTGCGTGCCTCCGAGTCCAGTGCCGTGAATTCATTTTGGAGGTGGATCTACTGGAGGACCAGTGTTGGATCACTGACGGCTACTTGGTTGTCAAACTCTCCTCCCTTCCCACTCCAGAGTTTGTTGGGTTTTAGAGTCAATGATTGATTATTTGGCCCTTGGTTAAGAGGATTATTTTTCCTGTCAGCACCTATTTTAGACTCTTCTCTACATGGAAGGTCATAGCCCTGTCTTTATAGGGTAGTCAGAGCCTGATTGTTCTAAGTACCGCTGAGTTATGTTAAAACTGTTCTTGGTTATATTGTCTTAATTAACAGAAGTCCACATGTACTTTACTTCCCCTTTTGTCTGCATTTTCTACAGTTCTCATTGGGTTTATTAAATTGTCCCTTGATTCTTGGCATTAAAGAAAATCTCCAGTGCTTGCTTCAGCAACACACACACACACACACACATTAAAAAAAATAAAATCTTAAGTCTGCATTCTAAATAGAGGCATGTAACATTCATGTTCAGTATAAGTTGTGAGCCTTTTTAATTGAAATTAGAAAAAAACACCCCCAACTCTAGGCTAACTTTGTAGCTGATAAAATAGGAATGAGGAAGATTGGGTGTGGAGAAGGTACAAAAGTAAACTAAACCCTCAGCATTGAGTGTCTTTTACATGACTGTTGGTGTCAGTTTCACCTAAGTCATGTTATCTTATGTGGTAAGAGCTTTGGGCACAGCAGTGCCAAAGCCTGGATTTGGGAGTGGGAGTCTGGCGCGGTGGAAGGCAGTGCCGTCGTCTCGGGAATGTCTGCAGTGTGCTTGCTGCCAGATGTTTTCTGGGAGGCCTTTCCCACTGGCTAGAGGTAATGTCCCTAGACAGTAGGGCGGCACCTCCTGGTAGACCATTTTCGTTTTGCTTTTGTATCCAAGCAGCTGCCCTTAAAAGAACCTTTATTTGTGCTCCAAGTCGATCCCTGGAGAAGGCACAGGGCAGACAGGAATCCCTAACTACACCCATGAGTACCTTACTCTGTTCTGTACCTGAGGCCCAACAGATCCAGCTGCCTCGGCCCATCTTCCTCTGTCTCGTACTTCAGACTTGGTGAGGCTGAGCCTGAAGTGCCATCCTTGACGTCTGCCCCTTTGTCTCCTCTGTGGCAGTTGCTGGCGCCACTGTTCCTTTGGCCACGCCAGAGCCTGGGTTCTCCTCCTTTCTCTCCACCTCATTCTTCTTTGTCAGAAGAGCTCAGTGCTTCAGATACGTATCCAGAATCAGGCCCCTTCTTACCACGCTGGTGCCCTCAGTGACCCTCTCTGACCTTGCCTTCACTCAGTCTGTTCTCTACTTAGGGGCTGCATGGAACCCTTCTGGGTCACTCAGAGTGAGAGGCAGAGTGTCCCCTAAACTCCACAGAGCCGCTCTCCTGTGTCTCTGTGGCTTTCTCCCAGAGACGTCGTTTCTCTCTGACCCCATCTGTTGCATTCTCTCTGGCCAGCTCTGCCACCTTCTTTTTTACTAGTAACTCTCAAAACATTTGTGTTAGCTGTTTCTCTGCCTGGATTGCACTTTTCTTTAGATTGTAGAATTAGCTCATTTGCTTCCTTCATTCTTCTCAAATGTTTCCCTCTTGGTGAGGCCTCCCTGATTGCTGTTTCTGAAATTTCAGCCCTTTCCTACACCCCTACTTGTTACCTTCTGATCACTGGACACCTTTTTGTCTTAGGCTTCCTGTAATCTGAGAGCGAGCAGTTTTGTCTGTTCTGTTCACAGCTGTATCTTAGTGGTATCCAAAGCAGTGTCTGCTGCTTAGTGAGCCTTTAAATAAACACTTACCTCTGTCCATGGGTAAACGGGACACTAGGACCTGGACACTCAGACTTCTACTCTGAGACTGTCTGGAACGTCTAGCTCCTTTGCTTCCTTTATTTTTCGTTTTTTAAGTCTTACCCAGGGCTCAGCCCAGTGTGAACTGCCTTGGTTTCTCCTGTGAAGTAGACAGGAAGTAGGTGCCACAGGACCCTAGTGGAAAGAGTGGAGGTTTCAGTTTACCGTCAGGCTCCCAGCCACCTCTGGATATGAGGTCTGATATCTTTGCCTTTAATTTCTGCCTTCCTACCTCACTGTTGACTATTTGCTATAAAGCAAAAGCCATTCCATGTGTTTACTCTCTCCCTAAAGTTCTGTTATGCAAAATCTTTAGGTGACAAGTTTTCATTGGCCCTGTTACCTCGGGTTGACATTTGTAACTTTCTTTCATGAAGAAAGAGGGGAAGGATTGACATGGGATAGGAGTGAGGTAGGAGGTGTTGAAGGCATAGGGGTTAAGAATTAAGCTTGTAAAACATACACATATCAAAACTGGAATTCTGAAAAAAGATTTATTCATGCATACAAGAGATGGGGTGTAGGTTAGAGGTGCAGGGGGTGAGAGGATTCACCAGAGAGAGTGTGGGGGAGCAGAACAGGTGGATCCACTGCTGAGGGGAGCAGTGGGTGAGGCAGGAGAGGTCTGCTGTGCCCTGTGGGTCACTCCCTGGGCAGATTGAATTTGTGCCACAGTGGCTGCAGATAGCCTCACAGTGCTGCATTTTTTATCCCCTGGCACCATCAGGAGGCCCCCAAAACTGGCACTGTTAAGTTGAAACAGTGAGCTGCCCCAGGGCAGCCCACAGTGTACACTGGGACCCTGGCTGGTAGCGCCTTTTTTCCT